AAGTACAATGCTACATGAGTCATCAGTGACTGAGTCAGATCCAATGAGAAGAACAATGTCTTTTATTCTCTATTTTTCAGGATTTTGGATGAAGGCCCTGGACTGTGCTTCCTGAGGCTTCCTGAGGGAGATGCTGTGGGAGACTCTTTCACTTTCTTTATCTCCAGTATGATTGGACAATGTTTTGGATTTCCTGATGTTTTGGATTCCCTGAAAGCGGTTTCCTGTCTACAGTCTGAGGCCACGGCCACAGTAAATGAACACGAATCTGTTTGTCTTTGTTTCGTCAGTTCATCGTCACTGAGCCGGTGTTTCCTCACCTTTTCTAAAGTGATATTGAACAACCTTGAACAGGGCACACAGGCCTTCTTACTCCCTTTCATTGAATGATTGATGTTGATGACGCACAGTTGCATAACCTGACACGGAGCACATAATGAAATTAATTATAATGGATAATAAGGAAAGTTTCAAAAGCTGCACATACATTTATATAAACATAAGTTTATTGGTTTGTTGCAGGAACAGTATGTCCAGTCTCTTCCAGGTTTATGGTGTGTGTGTGTGTGTGTGTGTGTGTGTGTGTGTGTATAATGTAATATGGTGAACTCTGAGTGGAAAGTCCTCTCACTCTCACTCTGACCGAGTTATGCTGCACTTGGAAAGAAACACAGATAGACAGAATATTTTCCTTCTGACTGATGACTAAAACAGTGAAAATACTATTGACTCTGCTTGTTTGGTTTGATACCCATACTTGACATTGATTGGTTTGGAGACGAATCTCGTGCCGTCTCCATGGGAGCACTCCAGGGAGTGGCACAAAGGTCACATGTTATCTTCTCTCATGAGGTCTTTGTACCAGAGCATAGGTCATAAGAGCATCAGTCAAACCATATGTTCCTCGCGACATGAGGATGTGGAGCTCAATGTAAACAAAAGGTCTGTGAGGAATTTGACGCCTGAGGGGCTGGAGGTCATCAAATAGTGCAAAATACGAGACCTCGTCAAAATAATGAGGAAATGTATCATGAGGGGATCAATCTTTTAAATATTCAGTTCAACCTTTGTGTTTAATTGACTTTGCTTCATCTCACATTTCTGTGTAAAATACTAAAAATAAATGTATTTGTATAAAGGTGTACTTCAATGCAAAAAATACAAAACGGGAAGCATCGTTATGCTGTATTTTAGACGATAATCTCAGGTTCTCCTGCAGCAACTTAATCCTGTTGAATATGAAAAGTGTTTAAGGAATAATTGCGGCTTTTGAAGCAGTTATTATATCCTCAAATTCAAATTATAACATTTTCGAGCAATTCCACTTTTCCACTATTGTTTGCTATTATGACATGATTAAATGTCTTTTATATTTTAACGTGTGCAACTGATCTCTTTTACCGAGCTAATGCATGATTCTAATCAATCATGATTTATCTGCACAATATTTACTTTACAATATTTATGTATTATCATCTCCAAGGAGGTTATGTTTTCACCCCTGTTTGTCAGTATGTTGGTTTTCTATTCAGATTTCCATGAAACTTGGTGGAAGGGTTTTTTTGAAATTATGATTTAGAGTTTGTATTATTTGTTAAACAAGATAACAGGTAGGAAACAGCATAGATTATACAAACAAACCCTCCTTGAACCCCTGAACTTTTCATCAGCATGTACATACCTGACCTTGGTTGCTGACGTAGACACCTGACAACATCTGCCATGGACAAGCTCAACTAAATAAAGGAAAAAACAAATAAACAAATAAATAAATAACAATGAAAAAAATTTAAACACATAAGGAAGCTGTAATAATACGGAAACAATAGTCATTTCTCTCTCTCTCTCTCTCTCTCTCTCTACATATATATATATATATATAAGCAAGTGTATTTACATATATATCCATACACCTACATACATATACATATGCATGGGTATAACATACATACTTATTAATGGACATACACTCATCCAAATATATGCATACAAACATACCTGCTCAAACATACCTGCATATATAAACGGTGGCGTTCAGAGGTTAACAAACAGTTAACACTAAGGCAAACATACAACTCCCCACAAAGAGTTCCTCATTTCAGGGCTGTGGAAGGATTTCAATTTGGGCGTGGATCTGAATAAAGGGGTGGATCCAAGAGTTTTCTCTCATTTTCTTTAACATCATGAGATTTAGTGAGGGAGGTTTTTATTTAAAGGTTTTTACTGATTTTCCAGGGAACGATTCATCAAACCTTTGAAAAAAACATGCGGCCTTGGCCGAGGCATGTGTGAGGATTATTTAGTTAATTCTTAATAAAGATAGTGAAATATAAAAATGAAATGATTAATGGCTTCATCTTACAGCAGTCACATTTTGCCTCTTTGTTCTGGTTCGTCCTTGTACATACATTACACCGTGGAAACATCCAAACAGCTATAGAAAGCTGAATGTGATTGTCAGGACAATGAGTAGGCTAAAGGAAAGTGGTTTTCTTTTCTACAGCAGAACCTTTTGAAAACCCTATGTGTGTGTGTTTGTGTGTGTTTGTGTGTGTTTGTGTGCAGTCATGACGTTCAACCAGTGAGTCAGACCTTCCAAATGAAGTTTCCACAAAGGGACTCATGACTACCTTGTCAAGGGAGAGCCACAGAGAAATTATCAAATCAGCCAAATTGATTCGGCACCTTCTCTCCATCCCTTTTTGTTGCCCGGGGCGTCGAGGTGTCAGTGATTAGGTCTGGCCTTTGAAGGATTTAATGCAGAGATTGACATGGGCTGAGTGATGAGCAGTAATTGTTTTTTTTTTGTCAGCTTGTAAACATGTGACTGACAGACTCAAACACGCAGTCAAGAAATTCTATTTAAGTGAAGACTGAAATGACCCTGTGATCCCTGATCAAGGTTTCTTCCAGTTAATGGGGGCCACAGTCGCCAAAGTGTTTGTTCATTGCCCTTGTTAAGATAAGTGTTTTACAAATAAAGTTATTGTTATAATTTTAATAATAATTATTATTATTATTGTTATTATTAATCAGCCACCCAAGACACTTAAGGTTCTGCGTCCTGGTGGAAGAAACGTAAGAGGATTGAAGAGGACTAATTTAATAATGCTTCACCTGTTGTCTGCTGACGTGAGTTGCACCACTGATTAAAAACTGTGTGGGTGGCCTTTATACCTGCCACACACACACCATTCATAAAGGAGCGGGAGACCCCTCACCTAGATCACACCCCGAGGCCTTGAGACTTCATGTGTCTATAAAAAGAGCTTTCCTCCTCTGAGGAAGCAGCAGCAGACCCTCTCCGACTGAGAATTTCATCAGAGCAGAGAGGAGGCAGGAGAGGAGGAGGAGGAGAGGGATCACGTTGAAGAAGTCGCCACTCTGGAAGATCTGTGGACAGACGCAAGGAGAAGAGCGAGGAGCGAGGAGAGGAAAACATTTGGAAAAGGTAAAAAATCAAATTGTTTTCTGTGGTCTGGATCCAAACTGTGTCTGGTTGTTGTTTTTCTGAATGAAGACACTTTCTGCGTCATTGTTGTAGACTTTTCTGACATTTTCTGAGATGTGCAGCCGCAGATTTCATACATTCCTCAGCTTTTTTGTCTCAAGAGTCATTTGAATTGCCGTCCATTGATATTTGCACTGTTACAAACCACAAAAATTACTAAAATAACCCTTCAATCACTCTGAATACCATTGAAGCACGAGGTTTCAATCTATTTTAATTGCAGCTTCTTTGAACACAGTGTGTCTGTGGAGAGCAGAGCTCAGCTGAGTGAGTCATATTGTAGGATGAGAGTAGCCAAGAGTTACAAAGACGATGGCCCACCAAGGAGTAGAATAATGGAGGAAGGAGGAGACTCAACAAGATGCAATTTGCCAGTGAAATGAAAGAAAAGGTGGAAAAGAACATTTTTATTTAAAGCAGCAGGGTAGAAAAGTTTTCACAAAAAGAGGGGATGGGCTATTTTTTTTGCATGGGCTTTAAAATGTTAATATCTGTGAAGTTGTTGAGAATCAATGAGATGGTGGTGATTCTAAAAAGTTTTCTCTGCTCATAAAAACACAACCTCCTGAAGATCTTGACTCTGAAAGGTTTAACAGAGGGAAAGAACAGGAGGTGAAAGAGGGATAGAAAAACAGCAGCAAAGAGATGAGGGGGAGGCATTTGCCATGAAGTCATTTATAGAAAAATCTATTCTATCACTTCAGTGCAGAGTTTGTGATATGTGTTCGAGCCATGTGACCACAGCCTCTTCTTGTCTTTTGCTTGCATGTGCACTGATTGGCGTCCTTGAGGTAACGTTTATCCTCATTTGTCTTTCAATTGTCCTGTGACCTCCGAGCTTTTCAGATTTTGGACCTTCAGGCAATTCAAAGCCCAATCACTGATATAATCAATCACTGAATTACTATCATCACTGCTGCTGCACCCTTGAGCAGCTGAAAAGAAACCGTTAGTCAGGGTTCTTATTTCTTTTCAACAGGGTTACAAAGGCTGCAACATTAAATTCTGGACAATGTGAAAATACATACATCTACATAACTTAGGGACCATCTGGGATATATTAGAGCATAGTACTAAAAGGGGGGGAACCTTGTAAATCAAAGCAAAGATTTGCTCTTGACCCTATAAAATGTTAACCAGGCCTAGTCTTGATTTTCAATCAGATCAACTGCTGCTTCTTTCATAAAACTGTGCTGTAATAATTCAAATGTATGACTTTGTAAAATCTGCACGAACATAGGTTAAAGGTGAAATAGTTAAGATTTCAATCTGGGTTGTTTTGGGTGCATTGTCCAGCCCTCGGACTGACATCACACCCAAATAACCCGAGTTGATAGTGTTCCAGTTGAACAGGAACATTGTTTACATCAGCCAGCTACCCATGTTAGAAAAAACAGTTCATAATATCGCATTACGCTGCATTTCACACATGCTAACACCATAGCACATATAATGACAGAAGTGCTAATAAACAGTAAAAACTACAGCTTTCACTGACGAACCAAGGGGCCCTCTGGGGGTGGAGAGGTTCTTTAACCCTCCGAGTTGAAATTCCGACTTGAGGGAGCATTCCAGCTGCAACTTCTGGTTTAATGGAACGTGGCTATGATACTACAGCAAAAACATCTGCATCAAAAATCAAAACAGCGATTGTTTCAATAAAGAGGTCAAGCAATAAATTTCCCATCTTGTCAGGAATGGTCATGATCTGTCATCACGCTGCACAAATGTTTTCCCACAAGACATTTATTGTGTGCTTGACAGCTACCATTTGTTTTTTGTTTTAGCCTCGTTTCATTATTCCCGTGTCAAAATGCTGAAAATGCCAAATACAACCGCTGTGACAAATGCACCACATTTCCTGTTGCAGCCTCGTAATTAAAGCCAGCATGTGTTTTGCTTGGAGGATTTGAATGTGAAACAGATGCATTAGAAGATGTTGCTTTACGTTGTGTAATTGAAACAGCAGAAGGTTGATGTTGTTACCGTGCTGGATCTACATGCATGCCTCGGTTTGTTTTTTGTATGTGCAGGTGAATTATGCCATCCAACAATAAAACCTGACATATATGTGATGTAAAGAAACAATCTGGTCTGATCTCATGAAGATATGAGGATTATATAACATGCAATATGATACTTTAAATGCCTGTCATTTCTTTCTTTCTCCAACAGTAAATCTTGCAACAAAAATATTGAGATGTTAATCTGAAGCACGAGAACCCACTCCTCCCTCCCAATTCCCATCAGCCCACCTACCCCACAAATCATTTTCAGACAGCCCCTTGAAAGCAGCAAATCCTAATCAAGTGTCTCAGGGAGTGTCACAGACTCCACATAAACAGAGTCACTCTGCAGGCCTTTCATTAATGTTGAAAACAACACCATCTGTTGCAATACATTTGATTTTGTCCAAAAGAGGAATGCTGATAATTGGTGTTTGAAGAAACAGCAGTCATGACACTCAGCTATAAATCAACAATTTAAACTAAAAGACAGCATTGAAACATGTCTCGTTGGAGAAGGAATGGAGGAAGGTGTGTGCAAGTGTGGTGCTCGAGAGGCACCTGCTGTATTTCTGAGAATGAGTAATGTTTCCAGTGTTTCTCAAGAGGACTTCTTGGATGTTACAGCTCGGTTGTTCAGCTCAAAGACGCCTCTCTCATGTTTCTGTCCTCCAGGCTGAAGATGGTGTGTCAACAATGGCTGTTCGTGGCAGTGATGGCGTACGTGTGCATCCCAGGGTTTGGGTCCGTGTGTCTGAACAGCTCCCTCTGCAACAACCTGAGCAATGAGCGACGGATCCAGGTGCGTCAACCACCCTCACTGATGTGACTAAGAAAAGGAAAATGTAACCGTGAGGCACATTTCATTTATGGTTCAATGTGCTTTAAAAAAAGACATGGACACAACAACAGCAGCATAACAAACACATTTTGAACTTGATTGTGTTGATTCTTTATCTTCAAAACACCAGTTATAAGATACGATCCAGAAATATAAAAATATAAATATGTTTTAGGTTTTTAAAATCTAGATCCATGAGATTCTCAGAGAAAATTGTTAAAATGTGGAAAAAAATTCCTGGACCCGCCTCCTTATCTGGATCAGCACAAACCCTTTTGATTGTATAGTGTCTAGGGATGTTTGAAAGGGCCTAACACTGCGCAGAGCAGGGTGTGTGGTGTGTTCACACAAGTTAACCAAACCAAGGGTCTCGTAAAAGAAACAATTGATTATACAAAAATAAACGCTGCAGGGAACAAAGGAACTATGAGCGGTGCCCAAGCAAAGAAATCATAAATCAAAACGTGCAGTCCTAAGCTAGTGCAGCAACACTATGCTATCACAGAATCCGAATTCTAAGCTACTCTACACATAATAAATACATGGTGTGGCACCTACTCCTTACCTAGTGATTCTAACAGGTGTAAGGCTACTGGGTGGAAATGTAAACCCATGGGTGTCTTACCTGTTGACCTCTCCCCTGCGCGTGAGGCAAAATTAAACAAAAACACTGCACCGAGTACAGACCACCAAACAAGGAATACAGAAACAACACGGCTCTGACCAAACACACCACCATCTAACGAACAATACAGAAGCCAACAAGCCAACTCAAAAACAGCACCTCTCCGGCTCTCTCTCTCAAAAGCAAGGGCCTCACACATGAACACAGCACATATATATAGGTGGCGGTGGAGCTCCTGATTGGCAGACAGGACCAGTGGGTTGATTGGACACAGGTGGGCTTGAGTGACTGATCACCTGGGGAGAAAACAGAGGAACGGAACAGAACACACATACGCCAAACTGACACAAGAGGGGGACGTAACATTCCCCAACATATATCACATCCTTCCACCAAGTTTCAGGGTCACCCCTCTGGTGTTTTTTAAGTAATCTTGTTTACAAACAAACCAACCAACAAAAACATGGACGGGGGGGGAAACGTAACCTCCTCTGCGGAGCTAATTCACACTCAGGTTAACATCTTGTTGAATTCAGCTGGAAACAGTTTAAAAAGTTANGGGGGGGGGGGGGGGGGGGACACCGTCTCCTTGGCCGCGATAACAAGCACCAGACCAGATGTGACCTGTTTTTGATCCAGACTTATTACTCAGCTGGTTTGATGCTGTTATGAGATAATGTGTATGTTTGTTGTTAACAATAATGATTTACACATGATTAGAAATAACAGCTGAAAACTGAGACAAAGATTTTGCTTATAATGTATTTTTCGATTTCAGTTTTATCTTAAAGAGAAGGTTTGATTTCGCCCACATTGACTTTCTCAGTAGCTATAGTCAGGGAGCCTGTAAGACCGTATTTATTCAAGGATGAACATGTGAGTGTCATCAGCAATCTTTCTAGTTGGGATGCTAGTGGATTAAATCTGCATCAAAGTGATAAATGCTCGATAATGTTGTACCATCAACTCTTTTTGTAGCTAATGACTCAACAGAAATGTTCTAGTTGCTTCTCTGATTTCTTCCACGCAGAACTGTGTTCGCCTCTGCATACAGAAGATCCAGGCAGAAATGCCGCAGCTCAATAAATTGGCCCTGAAGATAGACGACGAAAATGACATCTTACTCAGCATCATTCTGGCCATTCTGGCCTCGGCCAAAGACAAGGTACCAGAGTCGGGCCTGAAACCCCACGGCAACGAGCGGCGCTCCTATTCGATGGAGCATTTCCGTTGGGGGAAACCAACTGGCCGCAAACGCCGGCCCATCAAAGTCTTCATGTCGTCTCTGGAGGGAGGGGGCTCCTCTGAGGGCGGCTTCCACGCTCAGGTTCGCAGGCAGGTGGGTGGTACCAAGGACGAGACAAGGGGCGACCAGAACCAACAGAACCAGGGAATGCAGCAGGCAAGGGTCAAGCCTCAAGTCCCATTGCGCCCGCAGGACAGAAAAGTTGGGAGCTATCGCATGAGCCACTTCAGATGGGGCAACCCACCCACCTCGAAACGTAACGGCAGCCTTGTGAAGCCGCTGGAGGAGAAATCTAGAGCGCAGCTAGCTAACCTCTTGAGGAATATTCTACACAAGGATGTGCAGAGGATAATGGCATGAACGAAGCAGAAAGGCAGGGGGAGGCTGAACAAGTCCAATAGTCGTTGCATGTTATGACCCACAGATATGAATTCATTTGAGTTACAGTTTTTGATTGTGTTTTCTGAGCCAAAGGTTTGTTTAATTTAATCTTGTTAAAAATAACTTGTGGGTTTTATGTTGAATAAAAAACCTGTGATGCAGCCGCTGACCACTTTGACCTTGACTGGAAGGCTTTCTGATGAGTTGTATTTGTTTATCTCTTTGTGGTTGGAGGTGTTACTGATTCAATGTTATGAAAAAGAAACTAAAGGTGAATGTGGAAGAAAAGTTTAGTTACAGAGTGGTATGATTTTTGTAAATTGATTATAACATTAAAGATCATTGTGTTCGTGGCAAAAATCCGTCCGACTGATTTCATTTGTAGACGATACTGAAGGGGTGGACAAAATAATAGAAACACCTGTGTGTCATGTCAGATATCTTTTTTAATTTTGTGTCTGCGAGACAAGAGGCCAGGGAAGCATCTTTATAATAAAAAGTCAGAGCTGTTCTAATTTCTTTGTATTGAAGAGGAAGAACAAAGTGACACAGAGGCTGCATTTGAAGTCCGTTTGCAGTTCAGCGACTGTTCTATTTGTTAGGCACCTTAGAACACGACCTAAACAATAGAGGCTTCAGTCTTAAGAGGCCTGAACAAAAAGTATTACACTTTTTTTATGTACTGGATATTATTTGGTGCTAGATGTTTGGTTTCGGGGCTTAATAATTATTCTCTCCAGTTTCTGGATACCAGTCTGTGGAAAGACCATAGACTGTTTATTAAGATGGACGACATCCGAGCCAAAGTGTGTTGATCGCCCCCCTGGTGGCTGGCTGCAGCATAGGTCATAAATCCCTCCTCCTCCACGTTAGTGGATGGGACATTGACCAAACTAAAAAGTCAAAGCACACGTCAAATAGATTTTTCTCAAAGATGGTTTCTTTCATTTTAGGTAAATGTTCAATGTTTTTGGTTTTACGAGTTATTTGATGCTGAAACGTCATGATTGACAGATGAGACTGACTTGTGATTGGTCCCACAATCGCTACTCTGGCTCCCAGTGACATCATCAGTGCAAGATGGCAGCATTCATATCAAGGGTATTTTGGCTTCAGTGCTGAACAGCGTGAGGAAGCAGAGACACGTCCATCTTTATATACAATCTAGACTTTATATTATAATTCTGATAAACCCAGATGCCGGCAGCAGAAACACAAACACTGGTGTAAGCTGTGCACCAGGAACAGTATCCGTCCTTTAGAGGGACGTAGAGAACATCAACAGCTGTGGAAATATTTGCTGAGTGCTTCAGCTGATTGAGGACTCAAACTGTCACATCTGTTTGCAGTCAAATCTCTTTTTTTTTTTTTCAGTCTCCAAATTACCCATGATGCATGATGGAAATCCTCTGCAGTCGTGTGTATCTCAAACATCCGCTTAGGACAGTCCCTTTATGACACCACATTCAAATCCACTATCTGATCTGGATTTGTTTGGATCCACATCAAGTCTGTTCAGCGTGTTTTGCCTGATCCTGCAGACAAACCAACTAAAAATAGTAAAAAAAAAAGAGATCACACCTTTTTATGCTTACAGACAGTTTTATTGAACAACACAGCAACATCACTAGCATGCAGAGTCAGGTATGACACTCATAAGGCATTTTCTCCTTGTAAAAGCTGCCTCTGTCACTAGGTAATCCAGTTTTTAAAGTGCAAAGTTCACAGAATGAATAGAGTTGACCTACAGCACTACGTTGTAAACAGATCTATATTAACCAAACATGTAATGACAAAAGTAAGATTGAATTACCATCAGTTAATAATATCACACTAAGTGATGACAAGCAGACAGCTGTCACACAGCTCACAGGGCGGTCGTCATTGCTAAGTTGAGTAAAAGATTATTCTACGACGTGTCGCTGGAAGGCTTAGGCTTGTTCTTCGTTAACGCGGTGGAAAAAGTCATTGGACAGAAACTGTAAACTGTGTCTGATGAGTTTAGTCTTAATGAGAGTAAAGACGCACATCTGCGTAAATGTTCAAACGTGCACGCTCGCTCACATAAATGCAGGTACGCTGACAAAATAGTAAACATGAACAGACAATCTGATACACTGGCATGTGTGTACATAGATACACGTACAGGGGACACTACATTGTGTAAAAAAAACAAAAAAACTGGACCACAACAAATGACAAACAGGAATAAACCAAACGCCATCTTCCACATCAAACAAGACGTGCCACGTCTGACGTAGTCAAGATACAGAAGCACGGGAGCGGGAGAGATGGCCTCTTACAATTTCACAAAACTGAACCATCACAGCACCACAACAACAGAAGATACGATGTCACTCACACTTACAGATCTGCTACCCATAGTTGGGCCGTGTCAGCCAGGCTCGTGTCACTTTATTGCCATTATACTTTGTTTTTTTAATACCTGTGTGCGTTTGCGAACACACCAAATGGCTTTTAGACTCGCTTATGTCTCGCTGTATGAAAAAGATGCACGGCTTGGAGCGTTTAAGTGTCAAAAAGAGGAAGAAAACTCTTTCATGCAGGAGTCAGGGTGTAATGGCAACGGTACAGGTCAGAGTGAGAAACTGTGGAAAGTAACATATTGGAAAAAATGACTTTTAAAATCTGTTTCCCTTGCAGATCAGATGGGTTTATTAATTCCTTAATAATGTGATCCTCTGCCCTTGAGATGATGCAAAACATTACTACTCCTCAATATATAATTTGATTTCATGTGTTGCAGATTATTAATTTGAGTTTTAACAAAAAAAGTATCTGAATACAAACTATGTAGCTTTCTCCCTCATCTATGGACACAATCAGTGCAGTGGCAGTCTAAAATTAGAGTTAATATACAATATATATACACACACACACGAGGACATCGCTACTCTGTACATCAGCTTCAAGATTTATATATTTCTCTGTATATACACATTTATATGGGAAGAAGAAAAATAAAGGATCCTTAGTTATTTTTCTAGTGTCTGATCTGGCAAATGCAACTCGAGTGTGGTCACAACTTGTGTGTTTATGTGTCTGTATTAGTTTGAGTCACCCGTAAGGCACACTCACTTTGGAGGATAGCACACAGTTATCTTTCATTTTTAACCACAGATTAAAAACAACAAAATAATCATTAGACTTAAAAAGTAGTTGCAGGAAATAAAAGCCTGTCGTTAAAGAAAGAAGCACTTTTGGCTATTACACTAAAAAGGCAAAACGAAAAGCGACAAAAAGACTGAAGACGAGCTGCATAACATGGGAGACAACAATCAAACATACAGAACAACACACTGTCAAGTAAATTTAAAATGTAACTCATATACTCTCTTCCTGGACAAAACAAATATAAAATAATTACAATAAAAAACGTCATGAGGAAATAAACATGACTGGTCAAACTCATTTTGTTATTCAGGTTAGTATGGCACCCTGTAAGGGACAAAATAATTAGCAGTGCTATCAGAAATTCTTTTTTCCAGTTCCAGGGCGTGCAGTGGGTCAATTCATTCTAAAGCCAATACAATATTAGTTTGTAACAATATCTTTAACTCACAGTTATTGGCAACGTCCTAACTTAAAAATCCAACCAGTGGAGTTTTTTAAAGACATATTAGGAAGAACTGAAGGGAATTTAATAAATAGTGTGTGACTGCTGCATCAACCGACGTTAGCACGTTTGTTTTGTCTGCGGTCACAGAGGAAAATAAAAAAAGTATTGTCATCTAAGCTAAGTTCATCAAAAAGTTGCTTGCTCTTTAGTTGGCTTGTTCCCCCCCACATCCCTTGATTCTGATGCTTTTACAGTGAGGATTGGTTTGCATCATTTCTGTATCGCTGTTAAAATGACGGTTTAGTACACACACAGGTCAGGGAACTTCATCTCGTAGATGGGTATAGAGCGACTCTGAGTTTGGCCGTAACCTGACGAGATGGTTCCAGATGGGCTGGGCGGGGGTCTGGATGTGGAGAGGAAACAGACGGCAGTCATTATCATCACAAGACTGCTATTAGTGTCATTATTGCTCTTTACAGAAATGTTATTCAATTATCTCAAAGCTCGGCCTTTTACCTGATTGTGATTTCAAAGATCTGATTTAGTTTACTCTGCAGTAGAGTTGCCTGGACAAGAAAGAATAAATCGCATTAGGCAAGGAAGTGAAACAAGAAAAACAACAATATGAATAAAGGTTAAATGTTTCGGACGTACCCTGGCACCACAGTGGGCAGCTATTTCCTCAAAGGGGGCCTTCTGAAACTTCTCCACCACTTGTCTCCTGCGCTCCCTCTCCTGCTCTTCCATACCAACACTGTCCACTAGAGGCACACGGAAACAAACTGTCAATTTCAATAGTACACGACAGAGTACTTCAGAACGTACTTCTACTAGAATGCCTTTTATTTCTGTTTTCATTTGATTTGCTGTTTTGCTTATTGGGAAGCACTTTATTCCTCTGTTCTTAAACTTTATTAACATAGTATAAATCAGATTTCAGGAAACAGGCATTGACATGTGGTGATAAGTGTATAAGTACAAAGTGAATGGACAAACCAATGGCATTTTTCAGGGTTTCAAATGTGATCTCCTCTGCTGGTGTCCTCTGAAGAAGAGAAAAAGAAAAACACAACATGATGAGGTAACTGAGTAACTTCTCTATTCCTTGCACTCTCAAGTTTTACAACATTACATTGTCTTCAACCCTTTACCTCCTCTTTCTCTGGACTGTTTCGGGACTCCACCTCCCCCTGGATAGAGTTGGTCTCACCAATGCTCTTTCTCTTGGACAGACGGTCCTCATCTGGAAAGAGAGCAGATTTGTTTATTTTAATAGAAAATGTAGTTTTAATTCTACTATAAAACCCACTGCAACTGTTCCTTTTGCTCTATTACATTTACACAGCAGCTTACTCGTGGCTTTACAGGTGGAGATTTTAAAAAGAGTCTGTAAAAGAATCAGCCCTGATGAAGTCCATAAAAATCCTCTCTATGTAAATGTAGAGGGGAGTAGTTTGAACCAATAGACATTATCATCATAATTTACTTGAAGAGAAAAGTACATGAATCAATTTAAGAGTTCCTTCCCTTTGTTACGGTTTAAATCATGAGACAAGGGATGTACTTTTACCTGTGAACTGTGGGACATAAGGCGTAGCCAGTCTCTCGGTGTTGTAACCACTGCCTCCGAGAACCTCTGTGATCTTCGACTGGAGGAACAGAACATCCCCTTCTACCCTCTCCAGTGAGGAAGGCAGTCTAGGAAAAAGCAGGGAGAGGTGGTTGTTTTCAATGTTAGTATTGAATATTTAATCATCAAATTCCACACTGGTTGGGTTGAGGAGGAAGGAGAACTGAATGTGGAATGTGGTACATACTTGGGGTCATCAACGAACACACCCTCAGGTAGAAGGTGGGGACTTTCTTTCTGTCTGACCTCAATAACCTGAAGGGGCAGAGGAGAGAGGCAGTTTGTTAACACATTTATTCTTGGAACTCAGACACATGCATAAAAAAAACAAAGGAGTCCAGACCTCGTGTATGTGCTGGCAGAAGGCTGGGATGGTGGTGAGCTGGCAGATGAGGTTGAGGTAGGCGGCGGCGAGGGCGTGAACAGCACAGCGGTTGTAAACTGGCAGAGCCTCATCGGTGGACAGAGCCAGGTCCTGCACAGGATTGACAACTCTGTAAGACGCTACCTGACGATCTCTGGCAACTCAACATAACCTCTAGAATACTATTTCAACTGAATCCAGAGAAACGACTTCCGACGTGGTTTAATGTGTCTTGGGCTGTGTCTTCTTGCATTGTTATTATGTCTACCAAGGAGGTTATTACCTCCGCCTAGGGGGTTGTATTTTCATTGCAATTTGTCTGTGTAAAAAGGATTTCTCATAAACTACTCAACCAATTTCCATAAAACTTTAAGTCGAGGTGGAGAATGACCCGAGGAAGAATCCATTACATTTTGGAGCAGATCCAGAGAAAATAGAAGATCTAGGATTTTTTTTTAACATGACCAGACATGACGTTGTGTATTCTCCAGCATTTAGGTTGATTTTGAAGTGTTAATTTTTCTGAAGAAGTTTGGTTTTAATTTGTTATTTGATGCTATTTAAATGTCATTGACAGCCGAGGCAGACTTCTGATTGGTTGAGTGCATGCATCGGTGGCCAATTGCCCCAATTGCTACGGCGCAGACTCTATAAGTGAATATAGTAAAATCTTCATCAGTACCTGCAATGCGAGTGCCAGGCGAATGAGGTCCACCACCACCTCTTCGTTTGCCAGCTCCACGCTGAGAAGGCCCAACAGAGCAAAGAGGTTCTCGTAGTGCTGCCGACCACTGCTCTCCTCCTTACAGCCCAGGTAGATGTGTCGGTACAGCTGCTGGCCATGCTACCAGTAAAGGAGATTTTATCTATTTAATTAAGTGCAAATGTAATACAGAATATAATCTAAAATAGGAAAAGCAGAGTTGAAGTAAATTAAATTCGAAAGGGAGAGAAAAAAATACTGTTTATAAATCAGACATTTTCAATTCCACTGAAACAAAGCACCTATAGCTGGAGGACAGACCTTCTTCATGAATAAGTTGTCCTGTCTGGAACACTTGTCAACTTTGAGCTTGAGAATAGAGATGTCCGAGATGATGCTGCACAGAGAGAAGAACACACAAACTGTAAATGAAGCACTGAGTGGTCTGATTAACCAAATCTAGCATGGTACAACTTAGGCCCTAGAAAACTCACAGACACAAAAACATACCTAATATTGGCAAACTTGGGCCTGTTGTCGTGCCTGTCGATAAGACTGAGGAGGATCTGAAGCACCAGCAGTCGAATCTCTGGATCCTCGGTTAGAGAGAAGGACAGCAGCGGCTCCAGGAAGGAGTTTGGCAGCGCCGTCAACATGTTGGTGGTCTGGAAACCTGCCGTCACCTGAGACAATCATAAGCACAGTTTAAGTTTGCAAACTTACAAAACATGACTGATTAGCCATTATGGCACAAGTGACAGACAATTTCTTAATTATGACCTACTCACTTCTGATTGGCTTCTTTTATATCTAAGGACCATGACCAGCATCATGGGTGTGACGTTAATCTGTTGCATTAATGCTAATGTTTAATTTTGATTACAGGAATTAATTTTTTACACATGTTGAGAAACAGGCTTATGGTTCTGTTCCTTTTAGCTCCAGATAGGGGACCTGGATGAATGTGTGCTTTCACAATACACAATTCAGCTTTGGCCAGAATTACATCACGAGGAGAATATCTGTGGTGCACAAACATTCCTCAGTTAACAGAAAAACAAATGTGAAGACATGCAGAAAAAACATTCCTTTAGATCACTATAGAGCAGCCAAAAAACACAGCTCTCAGAAACTATTTTCTAATAAAAGACAAGAGATAAGTTTTTGAGGAATGAAGCGTTCCGATAAACACAGCTACAGGCACTATTATGTCAACCCAGTGAGTGTTCCTGTTATTTTCTACTTCTCTTGATTTCACATCTGTGTAGAAATAAAACTTCCACATCTGAGTTTTCATCTCCTTCCAACTTCAGAACTTTATAAAGAACCACCAATTCAAAGCTTTTTAAATGAATAAACGATACCAACCTGGACCAAGGACTTCAGCAACATAACCTGAATCATCCTGGTGCCCTCAGGCCTGGGGATGAAAGAGCAAATACAATTAAAGCCTAAAACAGTTAAGTGTTGTTTATAAAATGTTTTTGTCTGACTGACAGAATGGCTTAAGGTAGAAATGTGTTTGTTGTTTGACATGCAAGAATAATTTACCCGGAGCCTGTGGACGGCAGAGCCAGGTGAACCCCAGGGACAGGGATCTTGCCCATAATGAAAAGCATGACTTCTGATCTCTGGTATGTTGGTAGAGTGTTGGCAAATGAACCTGAAAGAGAAAAAAAACATACAGACATGTAAACACTCACATGTAAAGACACAGGTATAAGCATAAACAAGACAAGGTAAACATAAGCACCACAGACAATCAGATCCAGTGCAGGAGCATGTCAGTGAAAAGGCTCCCACACTCCCTCTCTCTCTCACACACACAGACAAACACACTAACCATAGCAGCCAGTCATGCCAACCACTCACTCACCGATGGTCCTGATGACGGCCTCCTGCAGCTGCCGCTCCTCGTGAGCTTTGATGATCTTTGTGCCAATGTTGGTGTTGCCGTCGTAGGAGCCGGTCAACTCGTAGTCCACACTTAGACGAAGCTGCCGCAGCAGAGTGTTGAAGACCTCCAAAACTGTGGGGCCTGCAGATGCAAACAAAATATTCCACAGTGGGCAAGATACTGGATTGTGGAGACAGTGTATGAATGTTGAGTGATGGAAAGATTGTGGTTTGGTGGCTAGCACTGTCGCCTTAAACCAAAAAGGTCCCCGGTTCAAATCCTGGTTCAAAGTTTAGCTTTGCATGTTTTCCCTTTGTCTGCGTAGGTTTTCTGCGGCTTCCTCCCACAGTCCAAAGACAAACAGACTGGGGTTAGGACTCAAAAAGTATTTGTGTGTGTGTGTATATACGACTCACCAACAGAGCCACTGGCTGCAATGGCAGCTGCCTCCAGCAAAACCTCCACTATCCCAGCTCGCACTGTGGCTGAGTTCTTGCTGTTAGCATCCAGGTGTCCGAGAAGCTGCTGGATGACCAGGTGAGAATGCTGAGACTGAAAAAGAAAGAAAGAAAGAGAGACAGAAGGGGTAGAAAAGTGGTAAATTACAGTAAGTCATTCAACCAGGTGGTAAACTCTAAAAGCTATGGTCCTGAAACTAGGCTGGTCCCTGACTCCAAAATGAACCACAGCTGCAAGGAGGTTTCCTTCCCCCATGGAATCAGCAAACGCCCCCCTGAGCTTTTTTCAGCTGTAAATCAGTGAGAACTCCACATATTACCAGGGGATGTTTTGACTGTCCCTAAATCATGTAAAAACCACTTGCAAAGACAATATAGCACACTGTGTAAATCACATTTAAGATTTCAGGATTCCATTTCTACAATTTTTGAAAAAAAAGGAGGTGAGGAAGAGGTCTTGAAGGATATATAGGCACTTTATCACTCACCTGGATGGAGTACATGATGATTTTGAAGCAGCGCACCGCAAAAGTCTTCCCCTCCCATAGAGAGTGGTTATCTAAGTGCCTGGGGGAACACAGACAGGAAGAGGTGAATGGAGGATACGGGAAATGGAATCATATAGAGTGAATAGTAATACCTCTCCACAGAATCCCACCATCAAGACACAGGGTGTAATTTTAGCTCTGCAAAGGAGGTTATGTTTTCATCTGCATCTGTCTGTTCGATAGTAAGCAGGATTATGCAAAAACTATAGTGATTTGAGGAAACTTTGTGGTAGAGTGGGGCATGACCCACAGGAAAAGCCCATTACATTTTCAGATTCAGATAAGTGGACAGATCCCAGTTTTTTTTCATTTTTCTTTATAATGCTGAGATAGGGCGATAGCCTTGGGGGAGGTATGCAATGTCTGAGAAACTTCTTAGTTTACTTTTGTATCTGTGTGATTAACGTGTCTTGACAGAAAGATAAAGGAGGCTTATGTGATTAAAACATAACTCTGCCTCTTCATAGTAAATAATAAAATGAAAAATAAAGTCAACACTAATTATCAGAACATTCATCCAATATGATCAGGAGGATTAAAACTGAAAAATTGGTCAAAATGAGAGATCTTTTTTCATGTAGAGAAACAGAGAGAGAGGTGGGGACATAAATTACTAAAGCATGAGACAGAGAGTGATGGATGGACCAGAGCTGCTCTCACACAGAACATGACAAGTGAGATGAATTGAGGGCAAATTGGGAGAAAACTGAAAATAGATGGATCAGGAGTGACATCCAATTCAAACGGTAGCCACAGTCACCAAAAATATTTTTTAAAATTTATAAATCCTACTTTGCAATATTTCTTCTTTTCAATATCCAGATCAATCAGTTATAACATTTTCTGCAGGTTATCAGATTTAGCTGCATTCTTTGCAAGCACATAACATACAAGGAGAAGTTAACCTTACTGCTAAGTCACTTCTCCAACCACAACTCCATGGAAATACAGTGTAAGGCAGGAATGATAAATGCTCTCTGACATACAGGGACTGAAGACAGAATGAAAAAAAAAAAGTAATAAAAAAGTAATAAGCATTAATGTCTAGGGCTCAGACAGTTAAAGGTGGAGACAAATAAAATACTTTTCCAGGAAGAACAGTAGAGCTGCATTGATTCAACTAAAAGAGAGGTGGAGGAAGTGAAGGATGGAGAAAGAGCTCATCTCACAAAGGACCAGGCTCAGAGGCATTCAAAGTTAAATAAAGACATGACAGAAGACGACAACAGAGGCAAACGTCTTCTAAAAAAAAAAAAAAACCCAACAGTAATTATATCATAACCTTGGAATGCAGACATCAATATAAATGCAGTACGATACAATGCAAATGTTCGCTCTGCAAAACATGCACTCGCATCTATAAATGTGTAACCTTGCATTGACCTTGTGCCCCCTTGTGCATGAATGTGGGTAAAGCTAAAAATACTGGAGTAGCGTCCTGGGATGCAGCCCTTCTTCAGGTTTAGCCAGTGCGTAAAAAAAAAACAGATCCTGCATGAGGGAACAAATCGGAACGAGAGGACAGATCTTGTAAATAAAAGAGCATGCAGGGCTGTCTCACATTAGCACGGGGGTGATGGCATTCTTGATGTTGCCATAGGCAGCTCGTCCCAGCAGCTCCCTGAAGCAGCGCTCCGTCAGCTCCACTGGGCTCTCCTTCTCCTTCTCCGACGCCTGCAGCGGTGAGGGGGAGCGGCTGGCAGGGAGAGATTGCAGGTGAGAAAGCAGAAAAGAAGAGGGAGAGATAAGGAGAAGAAAGGGCAGGAGGGAGGGAGGGAGGGAGGGAGGGAGGGAGGGAGGGGAAGGTGAGTTGGGAGAGGCAGAGAGGTAACGACAGAGAAAGAGAGAAGAGACGAGAGTTTGGAATCAGTTCGACTCAACAGCAGTAACAGTTACACCAAAGCTCCATGTTTTCCACAGGAACACTCTGCACTGCAGCCTTCACTCCTGAGGTGACTTTTCCCTCTGCAGTAAAAATGAAGTGGATGTGTTTGCCCTCGTGTTTTGTTTGTGTGTGAGAGTGTGTGTGGATGCTCGCAGTCGCTCCAGCCTTCCTTTACTCTCATGCATAGTTAAAACCTCCACCATAAATCTAACTTGGTCATGACTAGCCTCGGGTGGTCCACCAATGATGACATTATTTATTTATGACCCAACTCTTTTATCTCTCCTGCTGCTGCTGCTGTGGAGGAAATGTGACTTCCTGTCTCTCAGTGACTGCCCCTAGCTAAGTCAAAACTCACAAAACCAAGAAAAATATGAAATAAATATATAATATTAACAGTTTAAAGTCACAAACTTAAAAGGAGAAACTTTCTTTTGGTCAGCTGTAGAAAACTCAGAAGGTGAGGTGTTGAAAGGTTTACATTCGTGACACTGACTCCTGTGCAAAGATAAGGACAAATCAAACACCCACAGGAGACAGTCTCTGCTATCATGGTACTGTTTTGTCTAATGAGAGGAAGTATTTAAGGAGGAATTAGCATCACTAACAACTCTAATCCTACTGTTCTACCATAATCTAACATTATAGCTGCTTTCATTAAACTCATCAAACAACTTACTGACAGGGTATTTGGATCTGCAGAGTGTGAATGCATGTTTAGGTTCATGATCATTACAATTTTCTGCTGAGACAAAACCTGGAAGGAAACTTTTTACAGAGCATAAAGAGTTTGCTTTAAACAATCTGAGTACATGTTCTAAAGTATGTCACACGGTATTGCGAAAAAAGTCATTGTACCATACACATGATTCTAAAGGGTTGTACCCAGTCGAGTGTATATGCGAATGTTGTGCACATCTGACCACATCTCATTTTAAAAACAATGGATGCTCAGATGGACACAAGTTCATTTTGTATTAAAGAACTTGGGGAAAGGGAAAATTACAACTGCATTGGTGTGAAACTAGAAAAGACTTTTGTCCCACATGAGATTTAAATCAACCAGACTTTAGTACCAGAAATAAACTCGCTCTCTCACTCTCTCTATGAATCATTAGAAGATAAAACTGTGTCTTATCTTTAAATGCACCATTTGTGTCACCTGAACTCACATATGATGGCATTCACTGCTGTGGGTTTCGTCACTGTTAAGTATAGAGGGTGCACGGCAGGGGCAGACCTCATAACTCTCACAGAGGGGAGGGAAGCATGCTGGGAAGTCTGTCTGTCTCTCCATCTACTTCATCATTACAATTACCTCCACGTGTCATTGCTCTGTTTTCTATTACCCTCCCTCCACCCAGTCCTTCAATGCTCTTAACACTATTTCCCCCCTTTGCTCCTGTGACCTCAATTAGTTACTCTGCATCTCTCATTGGCGTGGTCTTGCCCTCAATCCTCGTGATGCCGTTATTCTCGAATGATTGCAACATTTCTGTTCGTGTTTTCCCCCTTTCTTCTTCAGATTTTCTCCCCAACTCCAGGTTTCTTTGTCCTCAGATGCTGCATGCGGGGACACAGACGCCCGTAAGGGGAGCAATGCTGTCAGTGGATTCAGTCAGCGATGACAGTGATGATGAATGACGTGGGTGGTGTCTGGCTAGACTGCCAGGACAAATATGGCAGAAACAGACAAACAGCACCAGTAGGCCACAGAGTAACGGCTGTGGACTGTGAGGGAGGCATGACGGGTCAATGCTGATTAATTTTAGGTCAATCATTTTCTCACCCCATGTTGACAATCTAGTCTCTTTAGTGACAACCACAGACATAGATCACAGAATCACTGAGTGTATGTAAAGATGGACGACTTGTTTCCATGCTGAAAAGAAGCTAAAATAGTCTGCGCTGTAGTGACCGAGGGGATGCACAGGTGGTATTTGCATGTCATGCCAAACTTTTACAAACTTGATTTTTGGGAAAAAGCGAAAGCCCAAGTGTGTGTCTATATAAAAGAGAGAGAGGAGCACGGAGGGGCTAAGTGAATCAAAACTCTACAATAAAATGAGATTCTACTACTTTGAAATAGAAACAAAAGTAGGAGATCAATATGTGGTGCTAGATATTGATGTTGTGGTGGCTGCCACAAATGAATGAATGAATGTGAAACCCTGAGAAGATTAAAAACGTTTTTGGTTTGTAATGACACTGTAGCAGATCACCTTAGTAGGCGGTCCTTCAAAGTTCAATGTGACATATTTGTTCACACCACCAAACAAATGCATCCATATGCATCGAAGATCACCTCAGAATATAGTCTGAATCATCAGATCTCAAATGTGTCCTAAATGCATCTTATGTGCATTCATACCTCATTCCTCTTCTTGTAAGATCACCAGAGACACATCTTAATACCACGTCTAAACAGGGTTGGCTTAATATCCATTATATATTTGCCATAGGTCTGATAAACTGGAAACAACTCAGTTAATGTCCTTGTGGGCACTCACCTCTCTGTACGCTCTCCACTCTGCAGGTTGAAAAGCAGAGAGGGGACGATCTTGTCCATGTGCTGAGGGTCCCAGATGTTGGCCTGTAGCTCATCATTCACAGTCTTCCTCACCACACCCTGCAGACCCTTGATACCTGCCATACGGATCCTGGAGGCAACAAACATAGACACAGATCATTTGACTGATCCTAAAAATGGATGATTGTATTTATAATTCTGTCAGTGTTTGTCTTGTGTTTTATTCAAGGTTATATTTAACTGTCCAAAGATCTAACTTCTATTTTCAGGAGATGACAAAATAACTCAAAAGATTTAATTGTACTAGAGAAGAAAGATGTTCACAGGCAGGGGTACTTTGAGGGAGTCTAAAATAAACTTTGTGATTTAGTCTAATAAAAAAGCAGTGACTTAATATCTCTGCCTCTGGTTCAGTCAAGCATCTGTCCACTCACTTGGTGCGGATGTCAGGGTCCTCGTAACTGGAGTGGCACATCTCACTGAAGCGTGACACGAAGAAGTCATAACTGCGGTGGTATGACGGTGTGTCCTCTTCTATGTTGGCAAACTTCACAAACTGAGAGAGGGGGGAAAAGAAAAAAATAAATCTGCTCTTTAATATGCCAAGTTCATGAATAGTTTATCTTAATTAAAAAATGACTGATGAAATGACCCTAAATCCTCAGGGTGAATATCTCCTCAATTAACGTCAAAGCTGTAGCACCATAACATCTCATTAAGAATGAAAAGCACAGAGCAGAGGAGGGCTCTCCCACTGCGCCAGAAAATGTCACCATTTAAACACGATGACATTTAGCTTCACACCACACGACAATTAATAAATTATGAACTTGATTTCTTTGGAATCAAGTTAGACATGATAAACCTCTAACAAGAATTATGCAGTTTATTCAGTAAAGGAGATGTAATGTAATTACATGATTCCCCCTTACAAAGAGAGTGCTGTAACCCAAAAGCTGAATTTATGGAGAAAATGAGCATCTAAAGAAGTCCCTGGTGAGTTCATTTCCTGGGTTCAGTGTCAGAGTGGTTACTGGAATCAAATGAAGTACCCTTGAGCAAATTTAATGAAGTGAACCAGTAACTGCCCCTGTGATGCCACTCAGTAAATTGCTGCAGCAGTTGATACCCGGACGCTGCCCAGTTTTACTGGCAGTATCAAGTCTGTGTCTGCAGAACCTCAACAGGCAGGAGCTGAGGGTATAAATATTTCTGCAACCAAAGGCTTCTTCTTTTTTCTCTCACGGTGGAGAAAACAGTAACTCAGACAGTGATGTGCTGAAGAGCAGGGTATGTGGGGAGAGGCTCTTCAGTGTACGGTTTTAGGTCACTGAAACAGAGTGTGAGAAAAACTGGTCGGGCTGTGTCGAGTCCTTTGGTTATAAACTCTCCTAATCCCCTCCTAACCTCTCTCTGACACCAGGCAGCATGCGATGAGCCATATAATGCAGAATACTAAAGGAGGGACGCAATAACACATTTATTTGAACTGAAAATTACAGTATACATATATTTTTATGAATGAAGAAGCTTACCTTGATGTATATTAGGACTGAAACTAACCCTAATCAATATCCTCACTGAAGGCAGACTGAAAGCAAAGATTAAATTTAGCAGATAAGGCAAAATTCAACTATTGATTGTGATAAACCGCACTAAGATGCTCAATTAATCATGCACTCTGAGGTGTGTGTGCTGGAGTGTACGGCCTTCCATCAGTCCTAAAAACGCACATGTGAGGGTGTGCAAGAGACTGATAGCAGGAAGATTATGAGTGAGAGGCTGACATGTCTCGTCAATCTGTGTAGATGACTGCGGAGCTTTGCCAGTGTGGTCTGCAGCTAATCTGACTTCCTTTATGTGTCCTCTGCTGACCTGGCGCAACAGCACTCTTAGCTTCTTCCCACATCACAGGATGCTCATCGCTCCCACTCCCTCTGCCCACCGCTCGTCTTGCTGAGCTCTGATCGTTCTCAAGATTAACGTCTTATACACATCGGGAAAGTAAATGCAGCCTGTTAACTTCTGATTAAGATAATACCTCTAAATCCACTGAAATGGGAGGAATTTGATGTGGCATAAGAGCTTAGAATCTAAGGCACATTAATCAGATTAATGACTAACAGTTCGAGAATGTGTCTGTTTTTATAACCGTAAAATGTTCTTGTCTTAGCTTGTTACAACAAACTTCATGAGCAAGTAGGTTTTGTCCTTATCAAATTACATTTGTAGCTCCAAATTATCTATTTGGCTTCGACAGTAAGTGTGAATTCTTTGAAAAACGTCCTTACATGAGGTCACTCAGACTTCAAGTTGGAAACTATATTTGTTTTCTCCTCGAATGCAACAACTATGGTAATTGTCAGTTTGATTATTTTAATGTTAACCACAAGTATTCACTCAAGTTGTAGGTTATCACAATGGTGTCAGTTTGATGTAGACACTGTATTGAGTAAAAAGAAAGAATATTTGCAATTGAAACTGGTAATAGTTGTTCTAAAAGGGAATAACAGTCATTACACAAAATGCTTATCTTAAATGACCAGATGTATGGTTTTCTTAGTTTTTTCCATATTGGCAGAAATGTAAAATGTGTTGAACTTTTTAAATTTATAATCTAATCCTGGACACTCACCGAGTTGGTTCCTAGGATCTGTAGATTGGGTTTATCTGACTCAAGCAGCTTGCGCACCATCTTCAGAAAACTCTCCACAAACAGGTTGATGCTCTGACAGTGGCAGGCCATCAGCAGCTGGTCCAGAGCCTCCATGGCTATGCACACATAGCTGAGGAGGAAGTGAGACACAGGTCAATTTAATATAACTTGTCTGTATATTTGATATAGAGAATAGAGTTATGGTTATATTCTGAATGGCTAAATGCACACAGTCACGGATACAAAGTTTGATAATCTGCCACACAAACACTGAAGTCTCACATCCTGCACAGGCAGAGCGACTCTGCCAAGTGTAAGTGTAATCTGCACAGGCTCTTTACTCTGGCAAGAATCAGCACCAGGCGTAATATTCATCAGTCACGGAAGACAACAAATTCTGTGGCTTATAAAGCAAGTACCGAATGTGTAGAAACATCACTGCTGATGATCCTAATGCAGCCATGCAGAGAAACCTGCCTCTTCACCAACACTTTTTTGGGCACTTTGCACAGATTGCCCACTAAATAACAGAATTACTTTGCATTATTACTGAGCATGAAGAAGTAAAATGGTGGAAAATGTGTTCAGACTGGAATAAACCTAATAATCTAGTTCAATGTATAAAGTGGATCTTAAAAGTACAATCTTTAATGGACAGTCAGTATATATCAATATGCTGAACACCTGTTACCCTCACCATTCTTCCCATTTCTTAACAGAAAGACCACTTCAAATTCACTCTTGAATTATATTTAAATCAGATAAGGTCATTCATAGAATAAAAACTAAGGGCAGCTGAAATGTTTTTCTCGAGACTTTTTAGAATGCTGATTGACCGGTGAGGCTCACCCATATCTGTGTCGGGCCACATCCCTTGACAATCTCTCCGACAGGTAAGCTCCGATACGGTCGAGCTTCTCTGGAGCTGACAGGGCATAAAATGTCAGCTTCTCCATGTTGGCTTTCACCAGCCCATCCTGGGAGGATGAAAGAGGGAAGAAAGGAAAGAAGAAAGAAAAAAAACAAGACAGAGAGGATAAGATCATTTTAGGTTCTCACTCACATCTCATTTTATCCAAGACAAATCTCTAAGCTTTTGCAGCTACAGTATGTGAATGCAGTTGTGTGCAGCTCTCCCTAAAACCCAAGTTATACTTGTATAAACGGATCACTGTGTTAACCTCCTTTTCCCCCTTGACATACTTCACTGCTCTTCAAATTGGTCAGGGGGGGAGGAGAGAGCTAAAAACATCTGTAGTCCATTGAGATCACTTTACATTCTTACACATGCACTCAATGGAAGCGACACTGCCAAAAATAATCAGAGGTCAGATTAAAACTTGAACCCCTTGCTTAAACAACAATGTTATGATGGAAGACTTATAAGATATAAGATTTATAAATACACCCGTATAAAGCTTTGTAAGCCAAGTGCTCTAAAAAAAACTAAAATAAAACTGAATATGCTTATGCTTTTTCATCTTTTAACACATCGCAGAGAAACATATAAAGAGCAGTAAAAATAGGTCCTGTGAACGGAACGATCACAAAAATAATGTGACCATGGTATAAAAAGCACAGGTGTAACTAACATTAAGGATGGCTCAGTTCTTAGGTGTCCCAGTAAGCCATGAAAGTGAGTGACTGAGTCAGCACGAACAAACCATGACCCTCAAACTCAAGCTGCGATGGAATTCAGTCGTTATTCATTTTTATTTAAACGTGAGTTCAATCGCGGCATTTGTGAAATATCGTGTGTGAAAAAAAACCTGTACCTTGCAACTATTACCAATATGTAGATGAGATCATGTGGATTCAGTATTGACTCATCAGGTTCAATTGTTACACAACTATGTCGAAACAAACGTGACAGGTCAGGTGCAGAATTTAACTGTTGGTCCTTAGCGGAGGTATGTGGTCTTGAGTGCCACTGCAATTTGACATGTCATAGCAGGAAAAGCCAAGGTATAATAACAGCAGCAGTATTATTGACTGATTTAATGTGAGCAAATTCAGTTGGCATTTTCTTCAGGATTTTATAATATGTTGAAGGAAAATGTTGATATTTCAGCCTCATGTTTTCTTCTGTGCATTAGGTACCGGCTTTACGTTACTCACCTACAAGCTTGCTAAATTGTTTTTTGCTTTTATTTTCTTATTAACTCAAACATTCATGTTGCTGTTGCCTAGCAGCACAATGAAACAACCTGATTGCAAAGCATACCAACATAACCATGAACTCCTGAGAAGGTTGTAGCAGCTTAATTCCAAACATAGAAACCTTTTTTTGGGGAGCACAGTATGCAGTCGCATATCCGCATGCTGTGTGTGCTACTTTGTCCCCTGCACTTCCAGTTTTGGCCACAGGTCTGAGTGGGTAACTGCAGCAGCACGGAGGCACTTGAAAAGTTTTATTTGCAATAAATCAGCTCCTTCTTCACCATCCGCTTCACGAGTCGTCTGTGTCAGATCTCAGTTCATTAGAGGAAGTGGAAGCAAAGAAGAGTTCTGTGGTTTGATACCAACAGCTCTAAATAGGACAGTTAGGAGTTGGTGCAAAGTTGTTTTATCACCTCAACTTCACTTTTCCTAAATCTAACATGTCACTTTTTATATTCATCTGCCTCAGTCGCTAGGGATGTACTTATCCCCCTTTTTCAGTCCTGATACTGATACCTACCTGACTTCTACTGACATTCAGTCAGTAAGCTCCACATGATTTCTATACATAGAGAAATGGTGATCAAAGACAGCGAGACAAGTGATAAATAAAAAAACAGAGTGTCATTGGAGCTTCTCACCTCTGGGTCTTCTGGGAAGATGTTGTCTACCAGTCTCTTGTACCGAGGCCTGAGTGCCCCGCAGCAACCACAAACCCCTGAGGAGGACGAGGAGGCGTATAAGAGATGGATAGGGAGAAAAACAAAGAGGGAGACAGAGATAATCAATTAGACTTGTCCACTGTGACTGACAGAAATGCAATAAAAACAAAGAGAGAAAAAAAAAGTGAAAATGTCTTCTTTTCTTATCCTTTGTCTGTTGTAGTTAAATCTTTGTATCCTGTATTAGTCTGTGTAAATGAGAAAACACAGTAAAAAGGTATGTCTTACATCTTGTTGCTAGTGACTGGTATTGGCACACACTAAAATAAGGTCAAAGATCTGTCAATAACTTGTGATATACAGTAAGATGATGATGATAACTAACAATAATACTATATCATCAAAGAGGCAGTAGTGGAAAATTGGTGATGAAAAGACAAGTCTTAAATTAAATTGTCAGCAAGGTAAACACAGCTGTTGCCAGTAAAATAAAAATGTGCGAGACAGCAGCACACTGCAATTAACAGTAGTCTTGCCAATATATCTATGTTAAGGCCTTGTCTTTTGGTTTTATTAGGTGCAGCTGCTTGCTGTGACAGGTAAGAAATTATCAGCCAGTGTAGAGATGTGAGGAATTTGCAAAGGACAATGGAAGGACAGAAAGACTCAAAGATACTCAATTTTATCAGGACAAAAAGCAGAGCATTCACAAAACTTCACAGTCGAATGCTCTGCAAGAACAGAGCTGCCAAACGCTGATCACCAGTGACAGTACTGGCAGGATGCCATCATTCAAACTGCTGAATCCAAAAATGAAAAACATTAAGATATGTTCTTGTTTAGAGAGCTTCAGGAAAACAGAAGCTTAATCAGCACCTCCACAGTTTGTCTATGTACTTTTTGTTTTCCCACTCAATCGCATGCTAAGTGAAGGTAACCCCGTGGAAAGCCATTCGGAACAGACGCAGTGTATAAAGAACCAGGTCAGAGGACAATTACAGACACAACAATGTTGCTCTGATGATAATACACACACAAAACACAAAGTCACAGACACACTCTCTGAATCAAGACAGCCTTGGAGAGACAAGTGCTGCACACTACAGAGTGATTTTTTTTGCAATGAGAAGAAAGCGAGCAAGAGGTGGACTCTGATTGGCTGAGGGGATTCAGCAGTGGTGAGTCATAAGAAGACCCTGTGAGAAAAAAGAAAAAAGAGGGATAACCTAAAATGTATAAAGAAGAACAAATTAATTACTATAACCCATCACATAGCTCTCCATAACAACTAATAAAATATAGAGATAGATATACAAGTTTAGATGTCGTAAAAGGTAATAGGAAAAAAAAGTAGGTCATAGTTTATCGGCGTCAGCAATGGACTCACGTTTAATAAATTATATGAAAGACGGACATTTCAAACAAACACAGGACAAATTCAGTGTGGGATAGACAAAGGCAAAACAATCTGCTTTGCTTTTGTCCTTCCTTCGTTCCTTAATCTCAACCTAATCTTCCTTCCTTCTATTATCCCTAAGAAAAAAAGGTTAATGTTGCTCCGTCCACACGATGAGGCGCTGTCAGCCTCCTCAAGGACTAAAATATTGTTTAAATGAACCACCACCTGGAGATACATGTCCCAAAAACATAATTAAATTATATTCTCAATTTAAAATGAACCAACTGAACTGATTTGTCACAGATGATGGAGGCAATCGGCAGCCACATGCCTGACTCACCGACGTGCAAAGACAGGCTGAGCCCTTCTACAACAACGTGCAATGTGCAAGACGAGCAACAATCATGTTTCTTGTGCAATACAGCTGATATTAATAGACACATTTCCAGGGACTTTAACCATCATATGAGACGTTACTGCTTTAAAATGAAATTTACAATACATTGCCTGAATGTCATCACAGGTCCATCTATCCATAGAAAGATTGTGTGAATGTGACTACATGTTGATTAAGTGAAGGTTTTACAAATTAATATTTATGTGAGGAATTCCACACTTACGAAGTTTAGTATTTTGTTTGAGTCACTCACAAATATTCTGTAATGTGGAAAACAAAAACAAACTATAGTCGATTTCAGAGGTGAACTTTGCCTTTCACTTATGAAGAAAGCAGCAGACCAGACCAGTTCAGAACCACAGGAAAATGTCCGGAACATTCAGACCATGGGTGGCATCTAGGTAGAGCATACAGGAGGCAGGACATGATGTATAAATTCCGCAGCTGAAATGTTTTGTTTAACACTAGCGTCGTTTGTTGTGAAAATACCATAATCTGTCAAACGCAGGAGTATGTGCACTTAACATGGTATTGGTACGACATACGAGTACTGTGAGGTTCAAGATCCTCTAAACCAAAAGCAATAAAAAGTCCTCCTCTGGATGAAGCTCACTACAATCACAGGCCTTGTAGTGTGTTTTCAGTGACCTACACGTCAGAGGAGGGGAGTCAGTGCAGGCAGGAAGCCCTTGAAAAGCCCTTTAATAGAATGAAAGGCATCTTTGCAGTCTATACTACTTAAAGGCCCTTCTGTTTCAAGGCATCTCTCTTCACTCTAAAAGTTCTGCTGAACTCCACAGCAGGAGCTCTGCTTGTGTTCAGGCTTATCTCAGAGCATGTGTGTCTATTCATAGCAGTGCTCCTTCATCACTTCAAACACTAATGAGGCCTCTGCACTGCTCCCTCCCTCCTTCCCTCCCTCCTTTCCTCCTGCACTCACCCAACCTCCCTGTACCTCACTCTATCATCCTTGCGGTATTGGCTCGGGGGCCTGAGAGTGGGAGTCGCCACTAAATTAATGAAAATGAGGCAGGTCCCGAGTGAAGAGAGGAAAAGGTGGAGGACAGAGACTGAGTGACAGGGACACAGAGCTGAGGAGAACGGAAAAGATGACAGAGATGGAAGGGTGATGGGGCAGGTGGATTGAATGAGTCACAGATTAGTGCTGCTTATTTATTTCTCCAGTATTAATCTGTCCTGTCCTCTCTGTCAACAGGAGAGGAAAGTAAAGCCTGACTGAATTATCGGTTGCTCATTAAAAAGTATAAAAGTTCTATATATTTGCTTGTGTTTCTGAATTATTTTTATCTATAATAGAAATGAGGATTAAACTGAAAGAAATCAAGTCTGAATTCAATTTCTTTGTTATAAGATAAGGACATCTTACAAAGGGCCAATGTATTGGTATTGGAAATGTTTTACTTTATAATATCAGTATCGATATCGGCCCCCAACAATATCAGTCGGGCTCTAGGGATAGATTATTTGGGAGAAGCAGGGACATAACAGACCCATTTATTGATATACAAGATGTTTTGAGGGGGTATTTCACATTTATTGACAGGACAGTAAGCGTGAAACGGGAAGGAAGAATGGGGGAGATGGGCAGGTCATGTCTGAAAAACAGCTTTCACATATTCTGCTTCCAGTACGCCATGTAAAAAATCTAGAAAACCCTGTGCAGTTTCTGGGTTGTATTTAGGCTGAGTTGAAAAAAAACAGTAGTTTTGTGTCTCTAGTGTTGGTAATGGTGGGTTAATGTGTAAAAAGATGAGAGAGCAACACGGTGGGTGGACAGGAATTTGGAAGACAGTGGTGAAAAGCACACATAGCAGGGGATCTCACGACATCCGCCCACTCTGCATGGCAAGCTGACAACACATTTAGGCGCTGGACAACGAGCTCTTCCATACACACTCGCACATAAACCCACACACAAACAAGCTCGCACACACTTCGAGGAGCGTGAAACAGACGAACGATGAATTACTGGTTGTTAGTAAAGAACAAGACAATAGAGGAGGAGGAGGAGGACATTTCTGCCACATGGTCAGGCTAATATCTACTTGTTTCACTGAATGCTTGGAATTCAAATGTTCTTAAGGTTCTTAAGTACACACATGTTGAGGGGGGTCTCCACCACTCCAATCAACACAGCAAGGAGCCAGCCAATCACAGTGCTATTTTTATCCCACTAACAATGGGCTGGTACATTAACAGATTACACTCTCCATTTCCCTCAGGATTTCAGCTTAACGTTTCCACTTTAGGGTGAGACTGAGAGAGTGGGGGGGAAATAACTGCATGCTGAAGTGGAGAAAATGGGGGCAAACAAAAATGACATAGTTCTGAAAGACAAGTTTGTACATGATAATATTAAACACACACATGCACAAGTGTTAATAGGACTGCACTGTGAGTCACACACACATCAGCAGTGAACACTAATGCACCACAAATCAAAAGATTCAAAAGGACAGGGGCTGACCCAGGGGGGCAGGGGGCCCAGCTAAAAACTGATTGGCCCCTTTAGTGCCCCCGTCCTGTCAGTTGTCTTTTTTTCAAATAAACTAGTCACCTACTCACAATAAATATTACAGACACAATTTGCCTGAACAATTAACAATTTTCAGAATATATTCAATGATGTGTGGCTTTGCCCAAAGCTATAGAGCTAACAGTAAACAAGGAAAGACTCATTTGTATCTTACTGAATGTTAGACATATAATTGGCTCCTCTGTGCAAAATTTGGCCCATTTCTGGCCTCCGATTTAGACAAACTGCCACTGCTATATAGGACTTTGAACATGCACACAAGGTAGGTGTGTGTGACAAGTGGCTGAGTGCAGTAACACATCTGCACCTGCTTCCATAAAGCTGCTCTGTTGAACCAAAATTCATGTGGCTGACAAGAGAGACTAAATATAGCTGTGATGCCCTGCATTTTGGATCAGTGTGTGTTAATGTGTGCGTTTCTCTGTGTGAGTGAGTGCATGTGAGAGAGAGAGGGGGAGAGAACTGCCAATACACATTTATACCTCACCTACACCTGGGGTCATGCACACAAGCACCTAGACTTACTCAAGCAAATGGCATTAACTTCTTCTTTTGTAACTAACTGTGCAGCTATACGCTGTATACACCTGTCCAAAATACATGACACACAATGGTCACAAAGCATGTTGCCCCTTTTTTTGGGTTCGGGGTTTTACATAAGTGGGGTGAGGGTGGGGGGGGGGGGGACAGAAGGAACAAGTCCTGCTATTTTTACATCAGCGAACAAGGAGGGGCAAAACATATTTTACCAGTGGATTCACATGGTGAAATGCAAGCACGCAACAGGAACTACTATCAAACACATAAAACATGAGATGAGTAGAGTGTAAGCAAATAATGAACCAGTCTGATTCAACAACCAACTGAAATGTACACAAGCTGTCGCTCGGTGAGTTTGGGAAAGCTGCATAGCAGATGAGCAAAGACGGAGAGCATCACGGCTGATAGCTTTAGGGGAAAATTCAACTGCTGTCACTAAGGCATACAGAGGAGGACAGCTATTCACATTCACTGCGTACATAACCACAATGTGAATTTATCCCCCCTTCACTCTGTCACGACGAGGGCATCTCCACGCCACTGACACATACACATTGTCCACGCACTTTGCAGGGGCACACATAGAGTAAATACATTTATTCTGCCATCAACCCCTGTACACCAAGCCAGATTCATAGCATATTGTGTGGGTGGTAGCGAACATTGTGAATATAATGCAACCAATACTCTGATGGACAGAGGCAGCGGCCAAAAAAAATCCTTGTGACACACAAGAATGATCCGACACACTATGAATCACAGTCAAACTGTTACTGAAACTGGGCTGCGAGGGTCTTGAGTGCAGAGACATTTCCATTCAGTAGCTCACCAGCGCAGTGCACAGTGAAGTGAGCATGATCTTCCTGTGTGCAGCGTCTGGGCTGATGATATATTAGCCCGCTAACCAAAATCTTTTTTCCATCAATACTCGGCACACTCAAAGCAAAGCTGCCTACATTTTTAATTAGTACTAATCAATGAACCATATATCAACATGTCCCAGTAACACCAGAGCGACAGACTAAAACAACATTTCACAAAGGGCATTGTCTCAGGTTTTAACTTTGTTTAGCACCTTTACTACTTTTCAAGGAAGCATTCATTTATCATTAAAGAATCATGAAAACTATTAAAGGATTAAACATCTTGTAAGACAACACTGCACACATAACTACAACAGTTAGCTGCCTGTGTCATAGAAACCCAACATTACCACCTCAAAGATAGAAAGAAGAAAACAAAAATATAAAAGTCTGTTACCGAATATAAACATCTTGAAAGCGAGTGTCGCCTTGTAAGCTAATGCTGTAATTCCATCAAGAGTATCCACATAAGAGACCAAGTTCCTGTAATGTGCTTTTAGGAGACGCTGTAGTGACAACTGCACTCTGTCACGAAAAACAGGTAACTGTTTGTAGAATGTGGGAAAACTGGCTTTAACACTGGATGCTTCACATTACGCAAATGCCTACAAAGGCAGGAACACGCATACAAATACATAACAGAGGAATGGCTGTTATTCTTACCGTACATCACTCGTGATGCTGGAGTCTCTCACCGCGGCAGGCTATGATTCCTTAATACTGCTTCAGTGGTTTATACGGACGCACTGCTGTGCCAAGAGGCACTGAAAATACACATACACATGCACACCCCGCTCACTCTGGGATAAATGTGCACGTGCGCTTGGAGCTAAAAGGCATATGAATGTGCGTCGTGATTGGTGCAGAGCATGGCTCGATGCAATGTTAACACACACTCCGCCTGCCGAGCAGACACACACACACAAACACAGGCATATACACACACACGCACAGAAGGGGGCTGAGAGGCAACGTCAGAGAGAAGCGTGCCGTGATGACCTTGGATTTTCTCCTGTTTGTCTTCTGCAACAGCGCTCCTTCTTAGAGGGGTAGTGCAGATTTCACATGCAAGTGCACATACAAACACACCCACCCTACTTCTTATCATTTATCTCAGTTTACAAAGAAATATACAGAGAAAGGGAGAGAGAGAAAGAGAGAGAGAGAGAGAGAAAGGGAGAAGACCTCCCACTCATGCAATCTCCTTTCCTCCTCTCTCCACCCCCTGACAGCATCACTCTTTCCCTCTTCTCCATCATTAATCTTCCCATGCCTTTTTCTTTCCTTACTTTCAGTTTTTCCTTTGGTGCTTATGCAACTTTCTGCTACATTTCCATCCATTTTCTAGTCAAGCATCAAAATGTCTGCCTTTTCTGCATTTTGACAGGATGGGAATTTTTTTTTTTTTGCTACAGCTGCAGCGGCTGGTGAAAACCTAAAACATTCCAGCCTTTGTTTTTTTCTAATCAGTTCCCTTAGATCGCAGAGAAAACACATAGTACTTGCATTTAAACCAAATCTGTAGCAGAAACAACAACACTGGGAAATGCTATTGTTTAACCATGGTACATTAACTCAACACTGGCGAGCAGCTGGCTCTTATCGCTCTAATGGTCAAGCTTTTTACCTGCACAACAATGAGTGCACCACATACACCACACAGCCGTAACTATGACCATTATAATCCATAGTGATGATCAAATAACTGGCTCTAATGCATGAGATTGCAATGAAACCAGAAACCTCATGATGCTGCAGCTTCCTTGTAAAACACAAATAAGTGCTTGAAATGTTACTTATGGCTACTGAACCTTCTGCATGATTTTTCAAGACTAACCATCAGCACAACAATCCACTTCCACTTCTGTTTCAGATAGTATCAGTGTATAATGTGTGAGACATATAATTTCCTTTACAAAGCTTGATTTGCAACTCAAAGATACATACATCAGGACTGTTCAATGAATTAAAGATGGTAGTAAATTGTTCTCACTTGAGCAATTAAAAGAAACAAAATCAGATATAGGCTGCAGCCTTGTACGGATCCATCCACTGCATTTAACCACAGGTTCCATCCTGTTAAGATAGAAACGTATCTTCACAGTGACTGTTGGTTTGATTGTTTTTTCCCCTGGGATGAATCCCAAGGTCATTTTGCTTGAATGGCTGGAATCATACACAATCGAGCTGTGTTTTCTTTGTTCTTGCGCGCCTGCACTTCTGAACCAACATCCCATGTAGAAACATGTTGAATACCACAAAGACCATTTTGTCAATGAGAGTTTATGTGTCAGTCGAGATCAAGGATGAAAGCGATTAAATATGACCCAGACTGATAATAATGAGACTTCCCTTTAATTAGACAAAACTGTTCATGAGCAACCTGTGCTAAATACTGAACACAGCCTGTGGTCCTATCAGTGGTTACCTACTTCAGTGCCAAAGCATCCTTAACAAACCTTTATATAAGCTCAATCAACTTCAGGTTGTAACAAGACATGAGGGAGTATGCAGCAAGTCAAATAGTAGTTTCTACTTTTCAGTGAAATAATTCTCTCATGGCGTGTTTTAGGAACAGTGACAGAGCCAGGGAGAGAACAGAGGAGCTGGTGTTGTCACTTACCCTTGCCAACGCGATGGTCCAGAAGGGTACGACAGTCCAGTGCCAGCCTCTGAGAGGCCGGGACATCAGGCGCAGGCAAGGGCATGGCAGGCAAACAACCACACAACAGCCCACAAGCACACACACTCAGACACACACCACTCCTTTCATAGACACAGAAAAAGCCCTAAAAGGCAAAAACTGACATGTAACACTACAAGTTACAGACTATAATATCTACTTATTTGGTTATAATTCTTGAATTTGAAAATAAATCCTTGCATAACAATACTCCTAAAAACAACCAATCTCCATCTCACAAGTGCTTGACAAACAAGCTAAATGCAAAATTCACTTACATCCATAACTAACCAGTTTGACAGGGACGAAAAAAGCACACACATGCTCACACACACTTACACTTGTCCTTAATGAAGCATGAGCAGAAAAGCCAAGTCCAACTTGCGTGTGAAGTCTGACACCACACCAAACTCACAAATTCTCAAAGAACCCCTGCAGAAAACCAACTCCTACGTCTCCGTCTAGGAGCTTCTTGGTAATTTATGTTAGTGCATCGGCAGGTTTACCGTATTAACAAAGAGATTAGCGAATTAGTCCTTCAACAGCAGCTCTGCTTCTCTCTATGCGCCTCTCTCTTAATAAACATCCCACCGACACAATGGGGCTCACTATCCACCAGGAGTCTCTCTCTGGGCGAGAGACACAGGGAGACACAGAGACAGTGAGGGTGGAGAGAGGCAAGACCAGAGGGACAAGCGCTCGGTCAGTGGGCTTGACGTTCAAGGAATGAGGAAATCGCTGGATATCAACCCAGGGAGACTGTATGGTGAGGGATTCCAAATGAACATGCATGTGCACACAAGTGTTGGAACATTCAAGCAGAGTTTCTCTGACTGGACATTTCCACGATCACCAGTGATGTACTGTTTTCTCAGGACTGTCCCACATTGAACTTTTCGGTGTACTGCTGTTTAATAGCTGGGTGCTCCTCACCTGTCATGTTGGATGCTCGTCACAAGGCGGCGTTGCTCCTCCAGGTTCACAGCGGCGGGGAGATGGGCGGCACTTCAGGCCGGAGCAGAGTCTCCACCGGCGGGTTCGCAAATCAGGAAAACCGCTGGATTGTCTTTGGCCTGTGGAGGTTAGCATGTCCAGGTTAGCTGATGCGCTTACACTCAAGTGAAACCTAACACAACGCAGGGAACGCCACGAGCTGACATGTTTCTGTCCTGTGAGGAAAACAAACAGTGACATTTATCACCTCATCACATCCGGGTGTGGATTTAAAAATCCTCCAGAGATGCTAGTAAATGAATTTAGCGGTAGCGATGCTAGCTTCTCGTGTAACTTTGTTCCACCATTAAAAACAAACACCGTTCACTCATTTTGATGAGGCTCCAACATGAACTTACGCCTGACAGATATGACAAGGCTATCGGGTGTTGTTTAAAGGGAGACGTGTGGTTAAATGAAGCTAGCATTCGTCTATGATACCCGGTGTGGCAACGTTAGCTAACAGCTACAGTTGTTTCACGACAGCGCCGTTTACTCACCATGAAGTGAACACGATTCAAATCCGAGGAAAACGTGTAGCGTGCGGTCACTTAACGTCAGAGAGCGACTCCTCTACAGGACAACAAGTATCCACATATATATACACACACTGGTCCTCCAGCTGTTCCTGACAGGAAGCGAGTATGTGACTGAGGCAACACACACACACACACACACAC